ATCCCTGTACCAAAAGAACAAATTATTGAACTTATGTCTGCTACAAATGTCTAACTTTCAAGAAACTTCATCCACAGATGTTGCCAACTTCAAAATAATTGAAAATACTAGAGGCAGCGATCTATGGCACTCCAGCAGCTGGCGGAGGACAAGAGGAGCAGGGAACGGCATCCATTATCTAATCCCACAGAACGCAATTAGAGCTGCCATTTTGATTGAGAGTCCACATGACCCTCTGAATGAGAAACACTATCAATGTTTAATTAGCTCCCGTCGAGCATGTATGCATCATATTCATATTAGTTACAGGACTGGAGCCAACCTGAAGTGCTTTAGAGGGACTGGCGGAATAAACAAAGGGAAAAAGAATACTGCAAAAAATACCTCACATTTACAAAGATAATTAAACACACACATCCACGTACAAATAAGAGACCATCTGAAGACCGACTGTCATCACCAGTTCATTTAGTGTATTATGATAGCGAGTAAAGCCGGAGATATTACCTTTCCCTCTGAGACAGAGAATTAGACAGACAGAGCAATCTGAGATCATCATCACAGACCGAGGCTGTTTCCTGCTGTGATTTACCCGTTTACATTACATTTGAGTAAAGCTAATCAGTGCTTGTGTTGAGCAACAGAATGCAGTGCTAACTATGAGCGTGTGTGAGCTCTAGACATGAATGTGAGTGATTTTTGCCCATTTTGTCTAAATCATTCACCAGTTTTCTTACTCTCTTCACACCAACTTTGGTCAGAAAATCAATAATTTATAATATATTATTATTATATATTTTACATTAAATATTTATATTTAAAGTATCTTTATGTGAAATATATTTTAAAATATGTCTTTAAAATAAATAATTTAACATATCTAAAATATTGTGCCAAGATAATGTATTTTTATATTTCTAAGCCAATTAAAAAAAAATAAAAAAAATACTGTTTAGATGATGTTATGTTAGATAGTTTTGGTGGTGCAAACTGTTTTTAAATATTAAATGAATGAACAATTAAATATATTTTATGACATTCAGTTATAATTACATATGCAATTAAAGAAATAAAATGTATTTATTTTATTGCATATTTGGTTACATGTTCAGTTATAATTGCACTTAAAAAAAAAAAGAATAAATATATAACTGTGGTGGCACATTAATTACATTTCGTATTAACATGTTAATTTACCAAATTGTTTTCCAGGTGTAAACAACTTTTTATTAAACATTTTGTCACCTTGGAATTATAAGGTTCTATCTGCATTCTGAGCAGTTTCGAGATATTGAGCTTCAAAGTTGCATTCCATATAGTGATATGGGATATGGGGAAAAAGTCTCTTTCATACATCAATCCCAAAATGTACACAACTTTAAAAAAAAAAAAAAGCATCACATGATGTAAATAAGTTACAGAATACGAATATGTAAATAACTAAATTTTGACAAAAAAATGGCAGATGGAACCTTGTAATTCCAAGGTGATTATTTACATAATGTCGCTGTTGCTTTCACTTTTTTGTAAAACATAAATATATATTTCTAGTCTCTCTGACAAGGAATGCTGGTCTTGGATCAGTTTTTCACTAACTAATGAATATGATTATGTAGACGGGGGAATTAATCCACAATCTGACTGTGAAGCTGTCAACACATGGAGCCCGAGCGGCCAAATAATCCATGAATGAATAGATATTGACATACAGGTTATGCTAGAAACTGTGACACACTTCTCTCTGCTTCCCTGTTCAATTCATCTCTATACCTCTATCTTACTTCTGCAGGACGTACTGAATAATGAGATCTGACAACAGGCTGCCATCTTTTCCAGCTGGACACCACCACACAGGCCTGTAATCAGAAATGACACCCTTTTCTAAACACACCTGCCATTGAGGTCTTAATGAATATGTCCGCTGTTCAATTACACAGTCTTGCTCGGTCTTGACAGGGCTGTCAGAGATGTGTGTGGCCACAAAGATCACTATAGGAAATGCTCACGGAAATGAGAAATAAATAGCTTCTGATTTATTTCTTTGATTGATTGGATAAACATCCTGAAAATATAGTTGAAGGGTCAGGATTATAGTTAAGGTACTGTCAAACTTTAGTTTAGTTCTCACAGTGATTGCTACTAAAATTTAACTGTAGTACTTTTTTATTTGGAAGCTATGATTTTTTTCTTTTCCATATACATAATTTATAATTATACTACTACTAATACTAAATATTATTAATATTATTAGTAGTAGTATATTTTTAAGCACATTTTCATCAGGAACCTATTATAATTCCAATACCATAGTCACCTGACAAAAAAAAACAAAAAAATAGGTGTGTGTGTGTGTAT